GCGGGGATCTGGTAGCAGGAACAGTTGTTGAAAAATTTGGAGGAGGGGCTAGCTGTGTGTGTGTGTGTGTGTGTGTGTGTGTGTGTGTGTGTCTGTGTGTGTCTGTGTGTGTGTGTGTGTGTTTGGAGTGAGATAAATTTGGTTGTGAGTTTGCTGCTGTCACGAGGCCATGGCTGCCCACTCAGAATGCCCAGACCTCAGCTCAGGCCAGTGCTTGGGTCTGGTGCCTAAGGAAGAGCTGGGTTTTCATGTCTGGGGGAGGGAGCTTTGGGGTGTGAGCTGGCCAGGGAGTAAGAGGACAGAGAGAGCTGCCCAGGTGGTTGGCACAGGAGCTAGTTTTGACCACCTTTTTCATGTGTTCTGTGATCTGACCACTAATAGGTGAGTCAAATCACTCTTACCATGTTTTTTCAATTGACGGATTGCAATTGTGTATATTTATGGTGTACCCCATGGTGTTTTGAAACACGTATACATTGTGGAATGGCTAAATCAAGCTAATTAACGTATCTATTACCTCACATACTTATAATTTTTTGTGCTGAGAATGTTGAAGATATATGCTTAGTTTCCAAGTATACAATACATTGTTATTAACTGTTTTCACCATGCTGTACAATAGATTTCTGGAACTTACTCCTCCAGTCTAACTGAAATTTTGTGTCCTTTGACTAGCATTCTCCCTTCCCCACCCCCCAGCCTCTGATAATCACCATTTTACTCTCTGTTTCTATGAGCTCAGCTTTTTAGCTCCCACATATGAGTGAGATTATGTGGTATTTGTCTTTCTGTGCCTGGCCTGTTTCGCCTAACAGTGTCCTCCAGGTTTATCCGTGTTGTCGCAAATGGCAGGATTTTGTTCTTTTTTATGGCTGAATAATAGTCCATTGCGTAAGTATACCACATTTTTTTTTCCCTGTCACCCAGGCTGGAGTGCAGTGGTGCAATCTCGGCTCACTGCAACCTCCACCTCCCGGGTTCAAGTGATTCTCCTACCTCAGCCTCTCAAGTAGCTAGGACTACAGGTGCATGCCACCACCCTTGGCTAATTTTTTGTATTTTAGTAGAGATGGAGTTTCACCATGTTGGCCAGGCTGGTCTCAAACTACTGACCTCAGGTGATCCACCTGCCTCAGCCTTCCAGAATGCTTGGATTACAGGCGTGAGCCACCGCACCCAGCCCCCACATTTTAAAAAATCCATTCATCTGTTGATGGACATGGGTTGATTCTGTATTTTGGCCCTTGTGGATAATGCTGCAATGAGCGTCTACTGTCTTTCATCATAATTTGACAGCCTTTGAAAAGGTGCCACTTTGAAAGAATCGGCACGGGGGTGGCAGTAAACCATGAAGGATCAAAGGGTCTGTCACCTGTGAGGAGACAGAAGAGGAGTTCCCACAGGCAGCTTCATGGTGTTTTGGATCACACTGGTCAGTCGGGCTGAGGCGATGGCCTGCAGGGAGCTGTCTTCTGGGTCAGATTCCCTGTGGCAGTAACTTAGTGTCATGGCAGCACCGCAGTCAGTGTTCCCAAAGATCACATGTCAGGCAGCGGAACTTAGAAAATACCAAGTTTAGCAGACAGTAAGTTTGGTTCATCTGTGAGATAAGGATGGGTCTGTTCCCATCTGCCACTTTCAAGCCATATGGGCAAGTCACTAACTTCTTTAAAGCTCTCCCCTCAGAAATGGGGACTGTGAATAGTAATTACAAATATATACACGTATATGTGTATATGAATATGTATGTACCTGAGTACACACACACACCAGGTACCAGTCTAGGCACTTAAAAGTACAGTGTATTTTAAGTCTTTTTTTTTTTTTTTTTTTTTTTTTTGTGACGGAGTTTCACTCTTGTTATCCAGGCTGGAGTGCAATGGCGTGATCTCGGCTCACCGCAACCTCCGCCTCCTGGGTTCAGGCAATTCTCCTGCCTCAACCTCCTGAGTAGCTGGGATTACAGGCACGCGCCACCATGCCCGGCTGATTTTTTGTATTTTTAGTAGAGACAGGGTTTCACCATGTTGACCAGGATGGTCTCGATCTATTGACCTCGTGATCCACCCGCCTCGGCCTCCCACAGTGCTGGGATTACAGGCATGAGCCACCGCGCCCAGCCTATTTTAACTCTTAAGCCTCACAATGCCATTATGAGCTAGTTACTGTCCTTCCCATTTTCACAGATGAGGCACCAGAGATCTGAGTAATCTACCCAAGGTCAATAGTAAGTAAATGACAGAGCCAGGATTTGAACACAGTCTGGCTCCAGACCTCAGCTCCTCACCACTGCTCTCTGCTGCCTCACAGTTTGCTGTGCAAGGTTATGGGGAAACACACAGGAAGGGTCTTACGTGCTGTGCTTGAAATGGACTTGAGGCTCCGTGTAAGTAACAGCCGCCACTGCTGCTGCCTGCAGATAGCTGGTGTTCAGCGTTCCAAGGCAGTCTTGCTCTATGCACAGCCATTGCAAATCTGTCCTTTCCACATGAAATGGACTTAGTTGTCCTGCTCTGTACCCACATTGCTCTATCCAAAATTCGACATGAAAGTTTGGATGTGGGATAATTTGAGCATTCCTTATCTTTTGCGTCTGGTGGTGTAAGCGCAGTTCAGTGGTGTGTGTCCTTCGTCAGTTTTTGCTAGGGCGATGTGTGGTGTGGTGTGTGAGCACTGTGCCCCGGGGCAGGACATCTCCTAGCAGTGCAGCAGCACACAAGCCTGGAAGATGAGCAGTCAGGGTGGCCGCTGCCCTCCCCTCCAGACCTGGCAGTCCCACAGCCTGTGGATTTCTCTGCGGTGTCCACATCACAGCACGATCTATGCCCATGGATGGGCACAAGCAATTAATTACTTGTGAAGCTGACATTTGAGGAGTTAAGGTGTTGAGTTCTTTCCATTTCCTGGCCCACTGAATCATTCTTGGAGACATGATGATATTACAAATCCATTAGAGATGTAAATAAGAAAAGTTCCTTGACCTCAGCAGTTTGTAATCTGTATGTCATAAGTAAAAACAATGTTAAATAAAACTAAACTTTGATCAAAGTGATGCAGATAAAGATAGTGTCGATAAATGGAAAGTTCTGTTTAGGTAGAATTAGTTCTCTCCCAGAAGGCAAAGTGCTCTGGAAGAAAAATGTAGCCTTTTACAGGCCGGGCAGGGTGGCTTGTTCCTGTAATACCAGCACTTTAGGAGGCTGAGGTGGGCAGATTACTTGAGGTCAGGAGTTTGAGACCAGCCTGTCCAACATGGCAAAACCCTGTCTCTACTAAATAAATACAAAAATAAGATGGGTGTGGTGGTATGTGCCTGTATTCCCAGCTGTTTGGATGGCTGAGGCGTGAGAAATGCTTACACCTGGGAGGTAGTTGCAGTGAGCTGAGATTACACCACTGTACTCCAGCCTGGGAGACACAGTGAGAGTCTGTCTCAAAAACAAAACAAAAAAAAAAAGAAGAAGAAGAAAAGTATAGCCTTTTCTAAAAGCCTGAGCATTAAGGCTGCAAACATTTATTGAGTGCCTATTGCATACAAGGCAGTGTATTTGGAGCTTGAGGATGAGACTGTAAGCAAAGAGTCGGTGTGGAATGGGATAACTGGCATACAAGAGTGCATGATGGCTGACGGAGCACGGAGGATCCATCCAGGTGACGCTGAGGAGTAAGTAGCAGTTTGCAATGCGTCACGAACAGGCCATCACAGTGGAGTCAGACTGTGTGGAGACTGGAGAACCTCAAGTAATCGGGTGTAGAGAGGCTAGGGGAGCGGAGGGGAGGCCACGGAAGGGTTCCAACACCAACTCCTTGGCGGGTGTCACGGAAGCCTTGGGGCCAAGGAGGACAGAACCATGAAGGTGCAGAAATGGATTAAATTGGTGCGTTGAATGCCAGAGGAAGGGGTTTTTTTTCCCGGTGAAAACAGGACCGTGGCAGAGGAAAGTGGATGCTAGGAGAATGCTAGCTTCCCTGCCACCCTTCCTTGAAAGGACATGGGTGTTCACTAGAGCCAGATTCATGACACAAGCCACACTGGCAGTAACAAGAATGTCTTGGGAGAGTTTGAGGATGGGAGTGCTTATTGACCACGGAACAGAGATTCAGCAGAAAAAGTCGGAGGAACAGTAAAGTGAGGACAGAAATATGTAGGGGAATGAGGACCCGAGGGCCTTGCATTTGGGGCATGGTCAAGAATGACAGGAAGCTGAGCCACTGTGAAATTGACAGGCCTCGAGTTCTGGAATTTACTGTTCTGTGGAGTTTTTTTTTTTTTTTTTTTGAGACGGAGTTTCGCTCTTGTTACCCAGGCTGGAGTGCAATGGCGTGATCTCGGCTCACCGCAGCCTCCGCCTCCTGGGTTCAGGCAATTTTCCTGCCTCAGCCTCCAGAGTAGCTGGGATTACAGGCACGTGCCACCATGCCCAGCTGATTTTTTTGTATTTTTAGTAGAGATGGGGTTTCACCATGTTGACCAGGATGGTCTCAATCTCTTGACCTCGTGATCCACCCACCTCGGCCTCCCAAAGGGCTGGGATTACAGGCGTGAGCCACCGCGCCCGGCCTGTGTGGAGTTTTCCAGTACTGCTCCAGTGGGAGCATTGGAGGTCTATGGGCTTGCTTGGCATTCCAGAGCAACCTTGGTAGGGGGTGGGCACTGAGCTTCTTAAGAGATTCTTCTCAGAAGACCTTAACCTCTTGGGGAAACTGACAGCAGACCCCAGTGCCATGGAAAGATCAAGACTGGCCTAGGACATTGGGCTTCTGCACTTGAGAGGTTCTCTTGGGGTAGGAGGTATGAGAGGTGGTGTTTTACAGGTTTTGCAAAAACACTGTTACAGGATCCTATCCAGTGAAGTGACTGATTTCTGTCTATGTAGTCTGAAAGGAGAGGCATTTAATTCTTAAAACAAGAGCAGCCCTTGTCTCATTCCTTTTGCTACTTCTTGCCATGTTGTGCTGATTATTTTCCTATCCTGGCCTTTCTCTCTCTCGCTTTTCAGAACCCGACTACCAGGTGTACTTGAATGCTTCCAAGGTCCCCGGGTTTGCAGACGACCCCACAGAACTGGCGTGCCGGGTGGTGGACACGAAGAGTGGGGAGGCGAATGTCCGATTCACGGTTTCGTGGTACTACAGGACGAACCGGCGCAGCGACGACGTGGTGACCAGCGAGCTGCTCGCAGTCATGGACAGGGACTGGACGCTAAAATACGGAGAGAGGAGCAAGCAGCGGGCCCAGGACGGAGACTTTATCTTTTCTAAGGAACATATAGACACGTTCAATTTCCGGATCCAAAGGACTACAGAGGAAGACAGAGGCAATTATTACTGTGTTGTGTCTGCCTGGACCAAACAGCGGAACAACAGCTGGGTGAAAAGCAAGGATGTCTTCTCCAAGCCCGTTAACATATTTTGGGCATTAGAAGGTAGGAACTCTATTCTTGTTTGTTACTCATTTTTGTTTTGCCTTTGCTTATGTCATGCCGCCGTGTGTTCAGATGCACAGTCACCCTCTGCAGGTTATCACTTACGCTAGGAATGCGTGTCCTGGACGCTGATCACCATGCGACCCCCGCTACACCTCTTTGGACTCTCTGTCACCCCTCCTCCATCCCCAAGCCCCAGAGAGAGCCCTCTTGAACTCACTGTCATCAGCCAAGTCTCCCGCTTCCTGCACTTTGCCTCTGAATGTTCCTTTTCTCTTTCTTGCATTAAACATGATGACCCTGAGGACACTCTTTCCACTGGAGAAATAAGTTACCTCTCCGAGGACAGTTTCCCCCAGAGCCCAGCTAAGTGCTGTCCATTTACTTCCCACACTTCTCATAACTGGGCCTGAGGTGGTGCGGGTGTCCTCCTCGGTCTTCCCTGCAGCTTCCAGGCCATTTTCGTTCACTCCTAAAAATATCCAGCTTCCAGCCTGGTGTCATCATCACGCCACACCGCCTCTTCTCGTTGCTGTTGCCTGTTGCCACCTAGGCCCTCTGTTCGTTCTTTGAAGATGTTAGCTTTCGTTTCACAGCCACGCTGCCTGACGCTGCTCCCATCTTGCTAACTTCAGTATCCATGTAGAGCACTAGGTCACCGTTGGAGGCACCCTGGGAACTTTAGGAAAAAAAATGCCGGTGCTTTGTTTCACCAGAAATTCTCCCGTCCAAGTACGAACCAGGCCCGACCCTGCTTAGCTTCTGAGAGCAGATGAGATCGGGCAGGTTCCACCAGAAATTCTATTTTAGTTGGTCTGAAGTATATGGATTCTGGGCACTGGCATTTTTAAATGCTCCCACAGTGATTTTTATGTGCAGCCCCTGTTGGGAACTCTAATACAGCTAATCCTGTCGTTCTCAGGCACTTGTCCGCCTCTCTCTAGTCATGTCCTCTATACTATTTTGGTCCTGCATTCCCATGCTTACATGCTACATTAGACCGTCTCCCTTCTGATAACCGAAACCCCCTCACAGTCTCCTGTTCTCTAAACATACCTCCTGTCTGTCTGTACCACTTCCTCTAGTACTCCAGCAACAATCCCCCAACCCTCCTGGGGTCAACAATCTGTTAATCCTGACATTGTCCTTCACTCCCAGTGTGCCTTCCCGTCTCTCTCACTAGGGTGCCCATTTGTATCCAGTGGGCACCTGGTGTAATTATGATAGCACCTTTTTCCATCCTCGGAGCTAAGGCTGGGAGGCAGGGGTAAGATATATGGTCACTTTACTGTTACCTAGCCTAAATTCCCAGTCAGCTGTAATCACGCCATTGCATACCCCCTAGCACCCTTGCCCCTCTCTGTTTGCAGTAGACTCCAGCCAAACCACAACCCAGTTCACAGGCAGCCTTCTGCAGCCTCCCTACCTGTGCCCACAGAGCTAAGGTGGCTGGAGAGAAACATTCAAATGTGTTGACTGGGCTCCCTTTAGGGTAGTGGTCACTTGTGACAAGTGGGCTCTCGGCACTGCCTGGGAATGATTCTGCGTCTCCCTAGTCTGGTGATTTCCCCACTCTCCTGAGTGATTGCTGCATGCCACCTTCTGTCTCTGCAAACCTCCTCCCACAGCTTCTCTCTCAGCTGTTGGTCCTGCTTCCTACTCTCCTAAAAGTAGAAACAATCAGGAGACTTCTCATTCATACTGCCCCAGGGCTGAGCCTAGGCCACCCTGAGTACGTCCTGGCAGAGGCCAGCCCCTCTCACTACTTAGGCCATGGCTGCTCTCTTCCATCTTCAGTAATTCTCTCCCTTCTGGATCTTTCCCATTGGCCTATCAATGTGCTGTTAGATCTAGGTTTCCTTGGGTTTTTCTTTTGTGGTGGGGGAATGGAGAATGGGGGTTGTATTTTTAGTTTTAGTTTTAGTTCTGTTTTTAGAGAAAGGGTCTCACTCTGTTGCCCAGGCTGGAGTTCAGTGGTGTGATTGTAGCTCACTGCAGCCTCGATCTCCTGGGCTCAAGTGATCCTCCCACCTCAGCCTCCCAAGCAGCTGGGACTACAGGTGCTTGCCACCACATACAGCCAATTTTTTTTTTTTTTTTTTTTTTTTGAGACAGGGTCTTTCTCTGTTACCCAGGCTGGCATACAGTGGCATGATATGGTTTACTGCAGCTTCAGTCTTCCAGAGGCTCTACAGGCCTCTACCATCATGCCTGGCTAATTTTTTTTCTTGGTAGAGACAGGGTCTCACTGTGTTGCCCAGGTTGGTCCTGAACTCCTGGCCTCAAATGATCCTCCTGCCTTGGCCTCCCAAAGTGCTGGGATTACAGGCATGAGCCACCATGCCAGGCCCCTGCTTTTTTTTATGCTAAACTAATCTTGATCTTGCTTCTTCATCCATCTTTCTGTTTCCCACAACCACTTGTCTACTTACTCCTTTCTCCTTTTATAACAACAATATTTGATGTGTATCTACTCCGTGTCTCTGATTTTTCTCCTGCCATTCTCTCTGGTACCTACTCTAATCAGGCTTTTCCCTCTGCTGCTTGTGGTAAGATGGCCAGTAATCAACGTATTAGAAAATCCTATTGTCAGTTATTTGATTTGACTTAGCAGAATTTAACACAGGTGATCCCCTCCTCCTGGAACTACTGTGGTTTTTCCCTTGGCTTGTGGGACGAGGTCTTCTCAGGGCTTTCTTTATTAGCCATTTCTCAGCCTCCTTTGCTGACTCTGTTCATTTTTTGGACCCCAGACATTAGACTACCTCAGGACATAGTCTTTTGACATAGTCCTTGGACTTGGACTTCTTTTCCATTTCACCTCATCGTGTTGGTGATGACTTCTAATCTCATGAATTTAAATACCATTTAGACAACAGTGACTCCCAGGTTTACATGTCTACCCAGGACCTCTTTCCAGAACTCCAGACTTCATGTTAGGTTGCCGCCTTGACACTGCTTGACTAATGGGCATCTTAAACTTCTGTTCAAAAGGATGCTTCCCATCACATCCGCCAGCAGTCTTCTTCCAGCCTTCTCCAGCACCTTTGTTCTAGTGGCTCAGCTCATACCTTCATCTTTGACTCCTCATTCTTAAAACTGACTTGGATTCTGGCTGCTTCTCACACACTGCCGTTTACTGCACCACCCTTGCCTGGATTACATCCCTGGCCTCCCAGCTCGTCTCCTTGCTCTGCCCTAGCACACGGCAGCTGGAACAATCCTGTTAAATATAAGTCAGGTCATGAAATTCCCCAGCTCGGGACCTTCACAGCCTCCCCATCTCACTCAGAGCAAAACCCAGTCCTCTCAGTGGCCTTAGATGATCTGTACCAATTGGTCCTATTACCTTCTGGCCTCACCTCGCACCCTCCCCAGCACCCACTCCATCCGGCCACTCTGCGCTTCCAGGCTCCTCACATACACCAGGTGTGCTCCTGGCTTGTAGCTTTCTGCCTGCTGTTCTATCAGCCTAGAATGCTCTTCCTGAGCTGGATAGGACTTGCTCCCTCACCTCCTTCAGGTCCTTTTTATTTGTTTTAAATTTAATTTTTTTAGAATCACAGTCTTGCTCCCTCACCCAGGCTCTCTCACCCAGGCTGGAGTGCAGTGGCACTATCATAACTCATGGTTGCCTCAAACTCCTGGGCTCAAGCCTCCCAGATAGCTGGGACTATAGGCACATGCTCTGTGGCTAATTATTTAATTTTATTTTTAGAGACACGGGGTTTTGCTGTGTTACCCAGGTTGATCTCAAACTCCTGGCCTCAAGCAATCCTCTCATCTCGGCCTCTCTAATCACTGAGATTACTTGCGTGAGCCCCCACACCCAGTTCAGGCTATTTTTAAAATGTTGCCTTCTCAGTGAGGATGTCCCCCGATCACTCTGTTTATAGTTGTGACACACACACCTCCCTTCCCATATACAAATCCACAATTTTTCTCTTCCTTGCCTGCCTGTTGTCTCTTAAACATTTATCACCATCTAACCAACCATACCATCTGTTTTACCTGTTTATTTGTTTCCCTTCACTAGCACCTAAAGGGAGGGATTTTTTATTTATTTGTTCACCATTATATTTCCAGTAGCTGGAGTATGGAAGGTTCTCGATAAATACATGTTTAAATTGATGAATAAGTGACCGAACTCGTAGGAAAATCAAGAAAGAATGTGGTAGCTCAGTAGAAGCTGAACAGTCAGTGGTTCTGGAGAGAGTTCCTGATATATATGTTCTGCTAATCGGTTTGGTGGAACAAGCGTTCCAAAAAATCTAATGTAAAAATCTCACCTTGTAACTGGATGGATTATAGGATGAATCATCATATTAAAGGATAAAGCAATGTATCTAATTCATTTATTCATCTGCTCAACAGATATTTAAGCACCTTCCAAGTGCCCAACGCTGTGCTACTGTAATAGATGGATTCCATGGATTCCAGTGTGTACATGCTTAGGCATTGTTGTTTTGACAGAGACGCAGGGAGTGATCCACTGAAACCTAAAGTTAGTGTAGCCATAGACACTTCTCAAAATGTTAAAACAGCATTTTTGAAATTAAAGTGTAAACCAAGTGGAAATTATTAGATCTGCAAATACACACACTGCAGTCATTTTAGCAATAAATCTGTTCTGTAATTTCACTATCATATGATTAAACAGAGAGATCTCATTTCTCCCTTGCCCTATTCCTCCCTGCAGGCTGGCTTAGCTAGGGGCACTTTCCCTGCACTTAGCAGACCCCTGGGGAGGAGAGGCAAATGGTATGGGTGGGAGCCTGGCTCGGATGTTACGGTGTTGGGTTCAGCCATGGCTTTCCCACCTTGCTGGCAGTGCCCTCTGCCTTGTATCCTGTGGGGCACCCATAGCAGGTTCCCAGATTCTTCCTCGTGAGACTTCTCAAGAACTTAAACATCCTGAAAACCAGTTCTCACCATAATTTCCTCTCTCCTGACACCCACCGATTCATTTCAGACTATTACTTCCAGTGGGATGGTTTCAGCCTGCTTATAGATACACGTGATTCTCTTTCCAAGTTGCCAGATTTTCGTAGGTGCTTTTGCGTGGCAATTTGCAAATCAGTTTCTATTTTCTGGTTATTTTGCCTTTAGTAGCATTTTTATTTATTTGTTTTTTTGTAGTGAAATTTTTTTTTTTTTATTGTATGTTGGGCTCTGGTGTACATGGGCACATCCTGCATCCTGCAGGATTGTTGCATAGGCACACACATGCCATGGTGGTTTGCTGTCTCCATTCCCCCCAACCCTACGTCAGGCATTTCTCCCGGTGTTATCCCTCCCCACCCTTCCCCTCCTCTCCACACCCCCACCTATCCCAGTGAGTGTTGTAGCATTTTTGTTTTAACTGATCTTGTTGGAAATCACATCCTTCTGGTCCTTCATTCCAGATTCTGTGCTTGTAGTGAAGGCGAGGCAGCCAAAGCCTTTCTTTGCTGCAGGAAATACATTTGAGATGACTTGCAAAGTATCTTCCAAGAATATTAAGTCACCACGTTACTCTGTTCTCATCACCGCTGAGAAGCCTGTCGGCGACCTCTCCAGTCCCAATGAAACGAAGTACATCATCTCTCTGGACCAGGATTCTGTGGTGAAGCTGGAGAATTGGACAGATGCATCACGGGTGGATGGCGTTGTTTTGGAAAAAGTACGGGAGGATGAGTTCCGCTATCGAATGTACCAGACTCAGGTCTCAGACGCAGGGCTGTACCGCTGCATGGTGACAGCTTGGTCTCCTGTCAGGGGCAGCCTTTGGCGAGAAGCAGCAACCAGTCTCTCCAATCCTATTGAGATAGACTTCCAAACCTCAGGTGAGCAGGGAGCCCTGTTGAATCATAGATGGAGCTAGAAGAGACCTTAGGGTTTTGATCAGATGCCCTCATTTTTAAAAACAGCTTTGTTAAGATGCAGTTCACATGCTGTGCAATTTACCTGTTTAATGTGCATAATTCAGTGGCTTTTCATATATTCACAAAGTTGTGTGATCATTGCCCCAACCAGTTTTAGAACATTTTCATTACCCCAAAAGAAACCTGAATCCCTTAGCCAATACCCTCCAATCACACCCCATTCCCTGCCTCCCATTCTGCAGCAACCATTATCTACTTTCTGTCTCTGTAGATTTTGCCTATTACGGACATTTCACGTAAATGGAATATAATATGTGGCCTTTGTGTCTGGCTTCATTTTTGAAGCAAAATGTTTTCAAGGGTCATCCATATTGTAGTATGTATCAGTGCTTTGTTCATTTTTATGACTGAATAAGACTCCATTGTATAGATAGGCCACATTTTGTTTATTCATTCATCAGCCAATGGACATTTGGGTGTTTCCAGTTCTTGACTGTTATAAATAATGCTGCTATGAACATTCATGTACAAGTTTTTGGACAAATGTATGTTTTCATTTCTGCCTTCATTTTAAGAAGACGAACTGAAGGTCAGGTACTTCAGATTCTTTAGGGAACATGGTGGACTATAAAGAAAGTGAGGAGGGAATTGAGCCTTCCAAGGTGTCAAGTAACTTGCAAAAGTGGAATGTTTTTAACGTCCTGTCTGTGTATGTGTGTGTTTCAGTAGGAAGATGATTTAAAAGTATTTAAGCCCCAATCTTATTTAGAATATCAATGCGAAGGATTATCATTTGTGAGTTTAAGACTAAATGTTTTCAATAACTCTGCTCTGGGTTTCTGGGTTTTAGTTAGAGATTTGTGAATTTGTGAATTATAAATTAATACTCATCTGTAAAAATTCAGGTATCAATTAAATTCAGTATAATGAATGCAAGATATTTGTTTAGAATTAGATGATTAGCATTTATATTAAAGGTAAACTAGACTAATAAAGTTTGTTTTCTATTATTTTGTATTATTATAACCTTTTATGGTATATAGTGAAATCATCTTCTAATGTCTCCTGACCTTTAAATTAATAAAGGGTAGCCGGGCGCGGTGGCTCAAGCCTGTAATCCCAGCACTTTGGGAGGCCGAGGCGGGTGGATCACGAGGTCGAGAGATCGAGACCAACCTGGTCAACATGGTGAAACCCCGTCTCTACTAAAAATACAAAAAATTAGCTGGGCATGGTGGTGCGTGCCTATAATCCCAGCTACTCAGGAGGCTGAGGCAGGAGAATTGCCTGAACCCGGGAGGCGGAGGTTGCGGTGAGCCGAGATCGCGCCATTGCACTCCAGCCTGGGTAACAAGAGCGAAACTCCGTCTCAAAAAAAAAAAAAAAAAAAAAAAAAGGGTAAATACTGATTTAAGCACTTAGATTTGGAAAGAGCAGAGAAAGTATAGGCCTCCTTTATTGTGTATCTGTTCATTTTTAATAGCAGCTTTATTGAGATATAACTCATATACCATAAAATTCACCATATAAAGTATACAGTTTAGGGGTTTCTAGTATATTCACAAAGTTGTGCAACCATCACCACTAGCTAATTTCAGAAAATTTTAATCACCTCAAAAAGAAACTCCACTCTCATTAGTGATCGTTCCCATACCCCCATGCCCCTGCTCCTGGCAATCACTAATTCACTTTGTCTCTATGGAGTTGCCTCTTCTGAGTATTTCATATGAATTGAATCATATTATATGTGGACTTTTGTGACTTGCTTCTTTTCACTTAGCATAATGTTTTCAAGGTCCATTCATGTTGTAGCAGGCATCAGTACTTCATTCCTTTTTATGACTGAATAGTATTTCATTGTATGGATATGCCCCATTTGTTTATCCATTCATCTGTTGATAGACATTTAGACTATTTCTACTTTTTGGCTTTTATGAATAATGCTGCCATTAACATTATTATTTGAAAATATCTTCTCCCATTCTGTGGGTTGTCTTTTCACTTTTTAGTGATGTCTCTCAAAACATCAGTTTTTGAATTTTGACGAAGTCCAGTTTATAAAAAATAAAAATTTTATTTTTTTTTCCTTTCGTTGCTTGTGTTCTTGCTGTGTCTAAGAAATTATTGGCTAATCTAAGGTTGTGAGGATTTACACCTGTGTTTCCTTCCAAGAGTTTTATAGTTTTAGCTCTTACATTTTAGGCTGTGATTCATGTTAATTTTTGTATGCGGTAAGAGGAAGGGGTCCGACTTTATTATTTTGCCTGGAGATCGCCAGTTGTCCTAGCACCATTTATTAAAACGTATATTCTTGCCCTCATTGACTCGTTTTGGCACCCTTGTCAAAAATCATTTAATCATAAGTGTAAGGTTTATTTCTAGACTGTCAATTCCATTTCAGTGATCTAGATTTCTGTTCTTATAACAGTACCACGCTGTTTGATTACTGTAGCCTTATAGTTAGTTTTGAAATTAAGAAGTGGGACACTTCCAATTTTGTTCTTTTTCAAGATTGTTTTGGCTATTTTGGATCTCTTGCATGTCCATGTGACTTTTAGGATCAGCCTGGTAATTTCTAGAATCCAGGCATCTGGGACTTTTTTAACACAATCTGGGGATTGTGTTAAAATCTGTAGATCAATTTGGAAAGTTTTGCCATTAAACAGTATCATTTTTCAGTTCATAAACATGGAATATCTTTCCATTTATTTAGGTATTTAAATTTTTTCCATGGTGTTTTGTAGTTTTCAGTATACAAATTTTGGGTTTTTTGGTTAAATTTGTCCTAAATATCTTATTCTCTTTGATGCTGTTGTAAATAGAATTGCTTTCTTAATTTACTTTTCAGCTTGTTTATTCATTGCAGTTTTATAGAAGTACAACTAGCTTTTGTATATTGATCTTGTGTTCTGTGACCTTGCTGAACTTGTTTATTCTAATTCTAAAATTTGGGAATTTGTTCTGATTTGTAAGATACAAGATTATGTCATCTATGAATAGAACTACTGAATCGTTTTACTTCTCCCTTCCAAGTCGAATATCTTCTATTTCTTTTTCTCGAGTAATTGCCTAGCCAGAACCTCCCATACAGTGTTGAATAGAAGTAGCCCAAGTGGACCTTCTTGTCTTGTTTCTGATCATAGGCAGAAAGTGTTCAGTCTTGTTCACCTTTAAGTATCATGTTCACTGCAGGATTTTCATAGATGCCCTTTATCAGACCGAGGAAGTTTCCTTCCACTCCTAGTGTGTTTCCTTTCATTCTTAGTTTTTTGTTTTGTTTTGTTTTGGTTTTTTTCATTCCTAGTTTGTTGAGTATTTTTGTCATGGAAAGGTATTGAATGTGGTCAGATGCTTTTTCAGCGTCTATTGAGATGAGTTGATTCCGTGGTTTTTGTCCTTTATTTGCGTATTTGTTTTGCTGTCTGTAGGAATCTGTTCCATCTTGTTTTACATTTGTTATTTGATTTTTCTTTTAAACTCTTATGTGGAAAGGGGGAGACACAGTCTTTTGTATCTATTTCTGGGTGAGGAATGGGTATTGAATTTATTCCTCAGTTCTTTAAATCTCAGCGTAACAGATAAAACCGCTGTAGCTTCCAGGTTGAATAGATTGCCTAAGGTTTTTATTTTATTTAATCCACAGAGTTGTCATGGCTAGTTCACATTTTAATTAGGAGAAGCTGCCATCAAATTCAGCACTCAGCACAATACTATAGCCCTGAATAGCCACCAGCAACCATTGATTTCAGACTGAACAGTGTTTGCTTCCTAAAAAGCAGTGGCATACTTTAAGATACACAGCGAAGAGGTCCTTCCAGTGTTTGCCTTCCTGTCCCCTGATTTCAGGGCACCTGCCTTTTGGTATTGAAAACCAATGGGCCCTCTTGAGTGCTGGGTTTTACTGATTCAAAGTGTCGAGAGAGAAAATGGTATTTAAATATGATAGTATACGCTTTGGCTTTTTAAAAGAATAATAATTTTTTTTAATATAGAAAATTTGAAAATATAGTAACATAGAAAGAAGGAAAAGAGACTCATTCATCATCCTACCGGAGACGGTTCATTCATGTTGTTCATCTTTCTAAAATTTTTCTCTTGTATGTTTTCTTCGTGACTTTGAGATCAAGCTGTATATACAATTTGAGGACCTGCTTTTCTTTCTTTAGTGTTATAAGATCAGCACTTTCTATATTGTAACCAGATCTAGGTGAATGTCAACACCACCTTTAATGACTTTACATAGTAGAGTTTGCTTAGCCACTACCCTATTGATGGACATGCAGATGGTCTGCAGTTTTTGCTTTCATTAAAAAAACTGCCACTAACATCTTTTTTAGAGGCCCAGGTTGGACCATGGTATATGTCAGTGTTTGTATTTAAAAGTTAAGTAGTTCCCGTACTCTCTGCAGACTGGGAATTGGGGGACCCCTAGTGACTCTGGTTGTTCAGTTAAACTCTCTGTACCGTGATCTGTCATCTGTGAAGTTAACCAGACAAATCCCCTCACAAAAACAGCATTACCACAGAAATTGACCATAATGAAAATATTTCTAAGCCTGGGATAATGACCCGTATTAACAGTGAGCTGCTGATTTCATTAGGAGGAAATCCACTGCTGTGAATAGCTCCCCACAATGCAGGCCTTTTCCCCAGTCCTCGTCTGCCTTGGAAGCCACAGCACAAATGCTCTGTTGATTCCCACGTTCAGTAGGGAAGTGAGAACTGTAACATGACCTTGGGTTTTTTCGGAAATACAAAGAAAAACTGAAATTTGTTCGAATTAAATAAGTCGTCTTTGCAGCTTCAAAGTAAATAGAAACATAAATCCATGAGAATTTCTTAATGTTTGTCATTTTATGTTCTCTTAGAAGGGGCCTGAACACAGGAAAAGCCCCTCAGTGTAGTTCTGTTTATTACCATGAGATTTCTAATCTGGGAAAAATTTGACCCCCCCACCTTGCTCACCATGGCTGCTGCTGACCTGTGCTCACTCACAGATGGCCGTCCATGGTATAAGTGTCCCCGGTCACCACACTGCGCCAGTTTAGGGCAGTTGGCTTAATCGTGCCCCACCTTGCCGCTCCAGGCAGAGCAAGTCCAGGGTATAAGGCCTGAGGGAGCCAGGGCTGAGAGCTGAGTTAATTGAAGGGGATGATGTCCAGAAGTAGGTCAGGCTTCCTTGTCTTGTTTGCTTTCATCCCTTCCCCATTTCCTGGAACAGCCATTCAGTCAGTTGTTTATCGCCTTAGGGTTACGTTCGCCCCTGCTGTTCCCTGAATAATCAGAACTTAGCAGTTCCCACCCAGAGCTGCCTAACCTCTGTAGGGTTCAATATTCTACAACCATCCTTCACCTTTCTCTCAAGAAAACACAAATTATTTATATACTTGGTTAGGAAAGCAGTCTGATGCATTCATCTTATTAGTCATGTCGAAATGAAAATGCAGCCCTTTCATCATCTTACTCTCTATCATGGTCATTTATTCCGCAAGTTAAAAAATGTACTTTGGGATACTTGTTTTTTTCTGGCGATCTGGACAAGAAGTAGTCATACTTATACTCTTAACTTCTAATGAGTTTTACAGTCAGCACCCAGGGCCTTCAATCGTTGCTTCCCAGGAAACCCAAGGGGAGTCCTATAGCATTGATGTTCTGTGAACTTCTTTTAGGTGTGCCTGTTCCTAGACGTTAGGAATTGGGATAAAGTAAACATTGAACTCTTAGGATTAGCTAGGCTAAAAGCTATAAAATGCACTCACCTAAGAGGAATTCGTAAGTGAGTTAAAAATAATAATTCTGCCTACAGTGTTCTCAGCGAGGCATGTAAGACAAATCCTGTCTGGGTAGGGTTTCTTGTTTTGTTTGTTTGTTACCAAACTTCATTTTAATTTAAACTTTTTTTTTCTTTTTTCTTTTTCTTTTTTTTTTTTTTTGCAACTGGATTTTGCTCTATCGCCCAGGCTAAAGTACAAAGGCACGATGTTGACTCACTGTAGCCCCAACTTCCCAAGTTCAAATAGTCCTCCTCCTACCTCAGTCTCCTGAGTAGCTGGGACTATAGGTGTGCACCACCGTGCTTAGCTAATTTTTGTATTTGTTGTAGAGATGGGATTTTGCCATGTTGCCCAGGCTAATCTTGAACTCCTGGGCTCAAGCGACCTGTCTGCCTTGGCCTCCCAAAGAGCTGGGATTATAGGCATGAGTCACTACACCCAGCCTGGACTTTATTTTTTAGAGCAGTTTTAGGTTCCCAGTTTTTGAGCAGAATGTACCAAAAGTTTCCGTTTACTCCCTGCTCCCCCAAAACACACAGCCTTCCCAACCTGAGTCATCTCTTAAAGGCATATCCACCTGTAATCTTAGCACTTTGGGAAGCCGAGGTGGGCAGATGACTTGAGGTCAGGGGTTTGAGACCAGCCTGGCCAACATGGTGAAACCCTGTCTCTATTAAAAATACAAAGATTCGCCATTCAGGAGGCTAAGGCAGGAGAATCACATGAACCCAGGAAGTCGAGGTCGCAGTGAGCTGAGATCACGTTACTGCACTCCAGCCTGGGCGACAGAGTGAGATTCCATCTCAAAAAAAGGCATATGCAAGCTGCCTCCATTTTTCCTGGCAGGCTGGAGCTGTGGCTTGAGTGCTTCCACCACACCTTATAGAAGCCTCGTTACTGGCATGCCTGTCTCCTTACCGGATTTCAGCCTCTTGGTAACGGGGTCCCTTTCCCCACCACCCAGCGCAGTGAATGAAGCCACTCACTCCATTGAGACCAAAAGCATTCTTGCTTCAGTCGCTGTCCCTTTGATCTCTCCCCAAGCATAGAATTGAACCATGTTGATCAGCCCAGGCTGTTCCAGGGTGGAGGGTAGCTTTCAAATGAGGTCACTGTGGTCATCAGAAAAGAAGTGAAAGAAAAGCCAGAGCAAAAGTTAACTCTTTAGGAAGAGTTCCATTTTGGTTGTAATCTGAAGATGAAGCTCACTGGGAGATGCGTAATGCCCATGTCTCTCTGAATAGAAGAGAGGCAGCCCGGAAACACCTATTTTGCGAGTTTCTAGACCAGTTCCCAGGAAGGGAACCACATTTTGATGCCCCTTAGAGCACAAATAATGGAATTTGATGAAAGTGTGAAAGAGAATAATGAGGCTGGCATTACTTTTTTCCAGGTCCTATATTTAATGCCTCTGTGCATTCGGACACACCATCAGTCATCCGGGGAGATCTGATCAAATTGTTCTGTATCGTTACTGTCGAGGGAGCAGCAGTGGATCCAGGTACCTCACTCCATCCTTTTCCCTTCACCGTACTGCTTTCTGTAGACGCTCCTCATATCATCTGCACCGTGTTACACAGACGTGGGTTAGGGACAGGGTTATCTATTTGTCCCCTAACTGCCTGGCTCAGTACTTTGCACTCATTAAGTGTTTAATAAATACTTGTTGAGTGGATGCATCTGTCCGCTAGCTGATTTGGAAATGCATCCACACATTTGAATCTGAGCTGTCAAGACGGCTAGTGAGTCACTCCCAGAACTGTTTCAGGCTGATTTGAAACCCACTGGCAGAGTCTAGCTCCTTCTCTTGTGTCTTTCATTCATTTATTCGTTCAGATATTTGTTGAGTTCCTTTGGTATACAAGAGCTGCTCTAGATGCTAGGAATAGAGGAGTGAACAAAATGCCCAAAGTCTGTCCTCACGGAACTTGCAACCTACATGAGGACAGACGCAAGAAATCAAGTGCTCTGTAATATCACAGCAATTGATGCTATGAAGACCTACAGAGCAGAGGAGTAGCCAGTGACCAGAGGGTGCTCTTGTAGTTAAAATTCTTAGGAAATCATTATAAATATTTTCTTCGCAGAAAATATTAGCATTGCCAGCAGGATGCCTAAGAGTTGTGGGACCGATCAGTCTTTCTCCTTCTTTGCTTATCCCATTCAGTGACCAGTTGATGTCCCTCTCTCACTCTTTGACTGTTAAGGCTTGAAAGAACATTAAATACACTCAAGGGGTCTCTGTTACTGAGCAGGACTGTACCCACTTCTGCCTTTTCCTGGAGGACTCGTGAAGAACCTAATTCCTTATGGGCTTCCCTTTCCTCCCGCATGCCTTGACCCTCAGCACTCTTCGCACTGCCCTGTCCCATCACAAGCAGAGCCGTGGCTGCTGGCAGAAATCTGTACCTTGAAAAGGCCAAATTGTAGAGAGGTCACAGGTTTCTCTGTGGAGACTTCTGGAAGTGTGGCCCTGGGAAAGAAACTAAAAGCAGCTTTCCATTCTGTATGAAGGGGCAAGCTCCAAGCAAGGGCGGTGGCCTGCAGTGAATCCAGGGAGCCCCTGAGCAGGGGACTGGGTAACACTAGCGTCTGGAAGCAGAGGCCTGGGTACCGCCACCGTCCAGGCGGACATCTGGCTCCTGCAGGACTTCCAGTGGAATGTTCAGGTCAGCCAATACTCTCTGTAAAGGACCTGGGTAGGAAACATTTTGGCTCTGTGGGCCAGATAGCCTCTGTGGCCACTATTCAACCCTGCCATTGTAGTGTGAAGGAAGCCTTAGATAAGAATGTAAGCACATGGGCATAGCTGGGTTTAGTGAAACTTTGTGAAAATAGGTAGTGGGCTAACCTCGGCCTGCAGGCTGTCGTGTACTGACCCCGGGACTCATCGATTGGTACCAAAGTTGGCTCCAGTAGGGTAGCTGAACATGGTTGATCTTTAGAGGTGGGAAACAGGAGGAGAATTTGTGGGAGATGTTAGAAAAGAAAAAGAAAGAATCCCATCTACATCCGTGGAGTTGGTTAGCTCCATTCACAGGGAAGAGGAATGAGAAGCCGCTCCTCTACCTGAGATGGGGAAGACTGAGGACACAGGAGGATTCGAAAGAGAAAAGGAAGGTAAAAGTAGAAGAGACTACCAGGGAAAGGGGAGGAAAATCCTTTTCGAAAGTTGGAAAAATATAATCCCATGATTGCCGTTAAAGCTCACTTACGATGCATACAAAAATAAACCCTTAAATGCTCTTTCTCAGTAAATTAATAGGTCACCAGTTGTGTCCTTAATGGAAAAGTCTTTTCGTCCAGTGTCATTAATTGCAAAAGCTGTAGGTAGCTGTTATCTTTCAGATCACAATTTTCAGTACTTTGCACTCTTGGACTGTGTAGGTGGAAGATTCTGAATTATTACACACAAGTTGTAATTGAGTTTTTCCTCACACATGCTGTGGGCTCTGAGGGGCTGCTCTTTCGTGAAGGACACATCGTGTAAATGATTTGTGGGCCAAGGTGCTCTGTGCGGAGCAGGGGTGGGGACAGCAGACTGTGGCCCTTCTGAGGCAGTATCTTAGGTCAGGTTCTCCCCAAGCAAAGACAGACAAGCGTGCGAGTGATGGACTGAGGGAGGGCTCTCAGGAGAACACTGAGGGAGGGAGGGACTCGAGATGGAGCCGGAGAAGAAGGCAGGCAGAGGCGTTAATTCGGAGCAAGTTCACCCCTCTACGGGGAGCTCTGGAGCGTGAGTGTTCCGCAGAGAAGGGGGCTGGGCTTCTCTGCCCCTTCGCTAGTCAGTCACTGTCCACAGGCGGAGTGGACAAGGAGTGAGAGTGTTTCGTAAACTCCAGGGGGTGGCTACAGGTGTGTGAGTTTCAGCAGCCAGCACCTGCAGCCCAGAGGCTCAGCCTGCCAGCTGCTGTGGACCAGCCACCAATGGCATTTGCTGGAGGTGGTAATGCCCTTCCCGTTAGCAGGTCTATGTGTAGGAGCATGTGTGTTGAGCTGTGGAGATAATGGTGTTCATGGTGACCAACTTTTATTGAGCACTTACTGTGTTCCAGGTGCTGTTTTAAGCATTTTAATACATGTAGTTCATTTAACCCTGGGTGCTGTCATTTTCTTTTTTTGTTGTTTTTTTTTTTTGTTGTTTTTTTAAAGACAGGGTTTCACCATGTTGGTCAGGCAGGTCTTGAACTCCCGACCTCAGGTGATCCACCCACCTTGGCCTCCAAAGTGCTTGGATTACAGGCGTGAGCCACCACGCCTGGCCTGGGTGCTGTCATTTTCACTTTGCAGATGAGGAAACGAAGTCTCAGCGAACTTGGGAAACCCGCCCAGGTCACGTGGCTCCTTAGTGCTGGTGCCGGGATTCTAGCCCAGGCAAGCCTGGCCCTGGAGTCTGGCTCCTACACGCTGAGGTGCAGTGGGGATCAGAGCTCAGAGTCTGGGAACCTGGTTTGCCTGTTTGCCCTCAGCAACCACCCAGCACCTGCAGGTGACAGCAGCACTGAGTTCGGAGTTTTCACGAAGACATGAGAGCGATGTAGGTGTCCACTCTGCCCTTGGCCCTGCGAGAGCATGAGGCTGTTTACGGCACTTCCTCTGCCCCCAGGGAGCTGGTTTCTTTGGAGAGACACTGGGAACAACAGCAAAAAATTATACTCAAGTGCAACAGCGGGTCAATGGGAGAAAAATAAGATATTCCATCTTTAGAGTGAGCTGAGAAGGAATGATCATCTGGATAATTTCTTAGAAATTCTTGCTTTTAGTTTTACTTACTTTTTTAATATATAAGCATCTGAAAATAATTTATTTGCCTTCGAATGTGTTTTTTGAGGCTATTAGTGTATTTTTACTAAATGAATAAACGTTATCTCTTGTTCAGCAAAAAATGGTCTTATTTGACATTTATATAAAATGCTTTCTCAAGTGGATTTAGGACAAAACAGTCTTGTGGCTGTTATCCTTTGCCGCTGGTTGAATCTCGTAGCCGACACGACTGATAGCGGTTGGTAGCAGTCAAGGAAGAGGTCAAGGGCTTATGATGTGTGCTCCGTTTTCACATTCCATGAGAATTACCACTTGTGCCAAAGTCTGCTTTCTCTTATGCCCATATTAATTTATTTGAGGCTGTTAGAACCTTAGTTTTGCAGAGTACTTTACGATTCAGCATTACTCTCTGGGACTGTTAAACTGTGTGCCATTTTCTCAGCTTGACATTTTTTTTTCCCTCTTGTTTTGAACTGAAGCACTTCTGCAAGGAAAGAAAAACCACAGTGCACAATAAAAGCTAAACTATTTACAACTCTGTATTTGGTACAGTTCGTTTTATGTACGTTTCGTTCCATACGACTTTAGTGTCCTTCCAGTCTCGGGTTCTTCTGCCTGAAATGTCAAAGGAGCCGCCGTCTTTGGGAGCAGAGCCTGCAGTATCCCCTCCTACCAGCTTTCCGATCTGTGTTCTCTGTGGGTGACAGTTTTTGGCCCTGACTCTTCCTCCTATGGCCCTTAGTCTGGGCAGCAGCAGTGCTGTGGTTAAGAGGCTGGCCTCCAGAGCTGTACTCCCTGGGTTAAACTGCATTTCTGCTACCTGCTGGCTAGCATGACCTCGAGCAGGTATATAGTCTGGTAATGATGGCAGAATAAAAGTAGGATAGTGCCTCCTCACAGGGCTTTTATGAGGATTCAGTGAGACCTCAGGCATGTAGTGCTGTGCTTGCCATACGTAGCAAGGGCTGCATACATGGATGGCGGCCGCACATATGACTTCTGCCTGTTGCACTGACCCCAGGGTTTTGGCTTGGTAATCCATAGATGACATGGCCTTTGATGTGTCCTGGTTTGCGGTGCACTCCTTTGGTCTGGACAAGGATCCTGTGCTCCTGTCTTCCCTGGATCGGAAGGGCATTGTGACCACCTCCCGGCGGGAGTGGAAGAGTGACCTCAGCCTGGAGCGTGTGAGTGTGCTGGAATTCTTGCTGCAAGTTCATGGCTCCGAGGACCAGGACTTTGGTAACTACTACTGTTCCGTGACTCCATGGGTGAAGTCACCAACAGGTTCCTGGCAGAAGGAGGCCGAGATCCACTCCAAGCCCGTTTTTATAACTGTGAAGATGGATGGTAAGCATGTCACCCGTATCTCTCAGTGTTTGGGAATGTCTTCTCTCTGTGCCAGGCTGTAGCTGACAGAACCCACGTGGCCTCAGTTTGAGGAATGTGCCATAGCACGTCCTGGTTTCTTTGTAGACCTGGCCTGGGCCTGCACCCAAAAAGAGCAGCCCTTGCTGTTACCCCAGCTTCGCGATCATGTGCTGGTGCCACCATTGAGAAATGGTTTTCAAGGCTTTGCCTCTTCCATAAATTCATAGAAACCCACTTTACTGTGTCCGAGGGTTGGCATGGATTCTTCCAGGCACAGGCAGAAAGCAGCCTTGAGAGAGAGGGTTCAGGTCGATAGGGGAGGCTATAGCTCAGGGACCTACTACTCTCACTACTACTGGTTTCGCTTCTTAAAGAAAAGAGACTCCTCTTGAAGTCACTGTACAGAGTGGGTACTTCTCAGAGCCCCAAGATGGGAGGGTGAGTTCCCAGCCTCACTGACCCATGGTGAACACCAGGGTGGGCCTAACTTGACAGGCAGAGCTTTGTTCGCTGAGCATCCCAGAGTGGGGACAGTTGTTCCTTGGTTTACAAGAAATGTGTCTCCTTTGTGGAAAACTTCAGAAAGTACATGTTAGCCCAAATCACTCCGTGGAGAGAATTAAAGTCCCGGGGTCTCTGAGGCTGAGTAGAAACCTTTTGAGTGTTTCCCTAGTGATTGGTCAGGTAGAAATCGAACCCTAGCCCTTCCACAGACGACTTAGCTTTTCTGATCCATTGTCTCCCATAAAATGGCATACTAGGCTTCCATGGGGCTGTTTTGAAAATAAACCTTAGCAAATGTAAGGCACCTAACCCAGTGGCAGCATCCACCCAAGGAGCACCTATGGGGAAGGGCAGGTGGATTTCAAGGGTGGAGTCTAGATGGCGTGTGAGCATTTCTGACACTTAAGTCATCTGTGCCATATTTTACATCTTCGGAATTCCTTGCTTGAAGTAACTCCGTATGAAAACCCAGATTTAACAAACAAGGGAGTGATTATTCACTTTGCTAGATAATTTACTATAGTGTTACTTAAAATAGCTTCCTTAGTACACTTCAGTGACTTGATGCATAGGATTGATTTATGCACAGTTTTTTAAGGACGCATCTGCTGCTGAATGTGCAGTGCCCTTATACTGACTTTTCAAAATCAATCTTCTGCCAAAACCCTAAAAAGCAGGTTGACATTCAAAGGCATCGAGTGAAATCTTCTTTATGGTTTTTATTCTCCCCGCAGAGCTGGGGAGGAAGAAAGACATTTGCTCATTTTTGTGACAGAGAAGGCTGAGCTTCTGTCTCCAGCGCTGTGCTGGGTGCTGGATGCAGGAGGAATGAGATCTTATCTCTCGGGGAGGTCCTGCTCCGGTGGGGGAAGGGAGGCAGGGGAGCCCCCAAGGCGGCCTCCCTGCGGCACTGACCGGCTTCCCCTTTGATCTCTCCCTCCCAGTGCTGAACGCCTTCAAGTATCCCTTGCTGATCGGCGTCGGCCTGTCCACTGTCATCGGGCTCCTGTCGTGTCTCATCGGGTACTGCAGCTCCCACTGGTGTTGTAAGAAGGAGGTTCAGGAGACCAGGCGTGAGCGCCGCAGGCTCATGTCCATGGAGATGGACTAGCCTGGCCCGGGAGGGGAGTGACGGAGGGACGTTCTAGGAGCGATTGGGGCGAGAAGAGGACAGTGATATTTTGAAACAAAGTGTGTTACACTAAAAACCAGTCCTCTCTAATCTCAGGTGGGACTTGGCGCTCTCTCTTTTCTGCATGTCAAGTTGTGAGCGCGGACATGTTTACCAGCACACGGCTCTTCTTCCCATGGCACTTTCTGATGTAACAATCGAGTGTGTGTTTTCCCAACTGCAGCTTTTCAATGGTTAACCTTCATCTAATTTTTTTTTTCCTCCCACTGGCTTATAGATCCTCTGACTTGCGTGTGTTTATAGCTTTTGTTTCGCGGGGTTGTGGTGAGGAAGGGGTGATGGCATGGGGTGATGGCAGTTCTTCATCTTCAGCGAGAGTGTGCCTGCCCGCCTGAGAGCCAGCTTCCGCCCTGGAGGCGTGGGTTCCGAGAGCTGCCGAGCCCACCCTCGAGCTGCCGAGCCCACCCTCACCCGGCCGACCCTACCGACAACGCAGACCTGTGCCGAAGGCTGATTTGTGGCTTTGACGACCCTACCCCAACCCCTATTTTCAGGGGTTTAGACGACATTTGAAATCTAAACTTGGAATATGTAACTTCTTATTGAGCCCAAATGCTTTTTTCTTTTCTTTTTCTTTCTCTCTCTCTCTCTTTTTTTTTTTTTTGCTTCTTTGCCCCTTTTCCATTTCTTTTGTATTTGTTTTCTGTGAGAGCGCTGAGATGGCGGCCCTGGAATCTAGAATTTGGCTCTCCACTGAGCACCTTATCTTGCCACCTTAGCCTTAAGAATGAGTATGAAGAAAAATACACAGCCACCTCTGTCCAGGGCAGTAAGAAGGGCTGCAAGGAATGGAAGCCTGGGGACAAGGAAAGGAACAGACACCTGCTCCAGAAGCTGTGAGGCCACTGTGCCTCCGGGGACCCCAGGGAGAGCAGAATAGGGATCCCAGGAAGTTATTTTTATGCAGCTGGAGCTGGGAGGGTCAGCGGTGCCAGGTGCAAGTTAGGCTGAAGAAGCCACCTCCATTCCTCTCTCTTGCCCATTGTGAGAGGCAAAGGCATTGGTCACCAAGAGACTTGCAGGGGGACCCACAGATAGGCCACCCCCTTCACACGCTGCCTGGGCTCTTTAACGTGAAGGCAAATTGCTGCTTGCAAGACTGACTGACTTCAAGGAATTAGAAATTACCTAGCAGCACCATGTATTTTCTGTGACCTTTTCAGTTCTTCGGGTCTTTTTCAGATCCGCTGCAGGGCTTTAGTGAGAAAGGGTAGGCTTTGTGGTATGTTTGCTTTCCTAATAGGGACATGAAGGAAACCCAGCAATTTACTGTCATGTGGACGGCCTGTAGAGCAGAGTCAGGAGCAGTCTGCTTTGCCCCACTGCGCCCATCAGGAATAGGGGAGTAGACAGAGATCTTCCACGTCTCGGGCTTCTGCTGCTGCTTTAAAAGCTCTCCCCTCGGAGCCTCCCGCTCCCTGAAGCGTCTCGCCCCCTGCACAGCACTAGCCTTTCGGAAGCATCCCACTGGGGTTTTCTGAGGCTCACCGGTGACTCATGCCCTAATTGCAATCCTCTGCTTTTATCCTGGCTCTGAAGGATCTAACACTGCTCTGTCTTCCAAAGGGGAAAAAAAAAGATTCATTTGTTTTGAGCAATAAAATAATACAAAATGATGGCCATTCATGTGCAGCTCTTTGTCACCATGGGCCAGACAAGTTGTGCTCCTCCTGGCTCACCATTTCCCCTGCTCCCCCACGGCTCATTCTGCACTTATCACAGAGTCAGCCCTGGAGTCAGATTCCCATTGAGTTTTCCCCACCAAGGGGGCCGTGCACGTGACAGCAACATTACGTTCTGCATTGACAGTAGCCTTTCCTTAGCCCGGGCCTGTGGTAGGAAGATGGGCAACAGGTATGCCCCACCAGGGCCTGAGTGACTAGAGGAGGTGGATGAGGCCTTGTTGGCACTAGATTTGGTATTTTCTGCATGTCATATCCTGACTGCTATTCCAGAAGAGGTAGCTTGTAGGTGATGGTACAAGTGAGAATTAAAGAGAGAACAAATATATAAACAGGTGCTGTATTAGTGACAGCCAGTGTCCTCTGAGTCCTTGCATCCATTAAAAGGAGATTCAGGATTTTATCGGCACAGGCCCTTCTTAGTAGGAAGAAAGGGAGCTTAGCTTTGGACATGACTAGGTGGCCCGAGGTGTGTGTAAAACCATGGACTGGGTCACAGCAGACACTCGATGGTGATAAATGTGCCGGGTGCTTACACACTGTACCTTTTCCTTTCATACTGATGCTGCAGTCCAGGGCTGGAGTTGCTAAGGCATTGACCTCCACCCACCTGCCCCACATGCATTGGGCTGCCCAAGCTGCATGTCACCTGGGTGCTGCGACGAAGGGGCGAGAAATCCCAGGGCATTGTACCAAGGACCTAGTTCCTTCTAGGGATATAAATCTGCCAGGAATGTGTATTTTTAACATGGTGAGATGCACTCTTTCGTTGTACCAAATCGGGCTCCCTTCCCCTCTCTTGCAATAAGTGCTCTTCTAGAAGAGGTTCCTACCAGTAGCAATCCATGAGAATGAAAGAGGGACCCAGCCGCGTCTCACTCAGCAAAAAGGAACTTTATACAAGTTTGGGTTTTTTTTTTTCCTAATCATAAAAATAGCCCCTGAAAGAGCCTAAGCTATGTTCAGATAGAAGCCTCGAAATTCCTGTAAATGGTTTACTTTATGATGTTTACATACACGTTTCACTTTAAAAAAAAAGGAAGAAAAATGCAAATCAACTTTTTAACAACTTTTCGGAGTTTTCATGGGACAGTGGAACTCTGACTCACCAACTGGGCTGAATTTTAATTTAAGAATGTATTTATTTGAGTGTCTTTCCTCCCCTCACCCCCACCGCAGCTGAGGGGCTCCCTGAGATCTTGGTAGAGGAGGCCCCTCCTGCCCAGACCTTTGTCTATTTCCTTGGTGGCCCTTGCTTCTTGCTTTGCAGACTGCCTGCAGCCATGATTTTGTCACTGACATCTGTGAGCCAAAGACTGAGCCTTTTTGGCAGGAATAATAAGCAATACTACACAACTTGCTACTTTGAGAAAACTTTTTTTTAGCTTCACCGATGACAACAGAGGAAGAAGGGAACTGGGATTTGGGTAAGTTCTCCTCCACTGTTTGACCAAATTCTCAGTGATAAATATGTGTGCAGATACCTAGAAGAAAAAAAGGTGACTTTCTTTTTCAGTGTGGCACATGAAGATCTGCAGAATTTTCCTTAGACAAAGAAAGGATCTTGTGTATTTTTGTCCATATCCAATGTTATATGAACTAATTGTATTGTTTTATACTGTGACCACAAATATTATGCAACGCACCATTTGTTTTTTATTTCATTAAAGGAAGTTTAATTTAAACTGAAGTTGTGTGAGGAACTTGATACCGGCCTCTGTTATCCTTTCCTGTCTTCAGCGTTAGGGATTGTGACTGGATTCCAGCAGCAACATTAGGACTTCTGATCTCTTTGAATCCTGTAAAAGCGCTGTAGATGTTCATGAATGATAAGAGGAGAAATGGATTTGATAGGATCAGTGTTGAAGTTCCACCAGCTGGAAAGGTGAGGACTAGGGTCCTATTGTTTACGGAAGACCTCCTGATCTTACAGGGAATTCACATGACCCTACAGGACTCCTCTCAGGAAAGAGAGAAGTTAGATATTGTTCCTCTTTGCAGTTGAGGAAACACCAAAGTTCTGTGGCCGTATCGTGACTGGAACAGAATGGTTTTTCTGACTCATGATGCAGTCTGGGGCCAAATCAGTCCAGAAGGTAGCGGCCTCGATAATATAAAAACAATCCTCTTCCCTAGGCAGCTGGTGTCAGCAGGCCTGGGCACGAATGAATACCGAGAACCCAACTCCCTACGGGCCCCTGGAACAGCTGCGTGCCCTTGGCTGGCCTCTGCCGTTGACTCTCCTGCTGGCCTCATTTGTGTTCTGTCTTTTGTGTCCTGTCCAGGGACCACTTCATGCTGTGGAGTTAGTCAAGGGCTGCTTCTGTGTCCCAATCACTAATGTTACCCAGTGACTGGCACTATTCCAGGCATGTAGAAGGCACTCGCACTTTGTAAGTGCACAGTTAATACACTGCTCTAGGAAATGACCCATGATTGCATGCTTCTCAGTGAACCAGGACGGTTCCACTCATGTCACACTGCTGACACAGTCAGAGCTGGTCGCTAGCCATCCTCCACCTATTTGCCAGCCCATTCCTGCCTAAAATTTAAATGTCAAATTAATAACGTTAAACTAAATTAAAAACAAAACAAAAACTTACTTGTATACTTTTTGTGTGCCCAGGCATTGTGCTGGGCACAGCTGCTGCTCACTTGTCTGCAGGGCCTTGGCACATAATGTCTTCTTTCTATCCAGCCTTCTTTCCTCCTAACTCGTACTTCTCTTTCAGGACCCAAGGGCCATCTTTTCCCTCTCTAGGTACGATGAAGATCCCTTGACAGATGGTCGGATAGTCTGAAAATGATGGGAGGATAGGAACCATTCACTGCTGTGACCAAATTGTGGCAACTGGATTCTTACAATCTGCCATGCGTGAAGACAAGTACCTCGCAGATGTGATTGCAGTCTTAAGTGACCAAAAGGGGTTTACGGCAGAAGCATTCTTGCCTGTTCTTCACAAAACTGGATCATTCAAATGCTACCACTCATTTCCTCTAACCCACAGACCAGTGTGCATGACACACTTTTAAAAGTTTTAATACTGTTTAGGTATGGCAGGGCCAACAGATCAGGAGACAATTGGCATTGAAAGATAGTTTTTTATATTCATAGCGCCCAAGAGGAAGGGGGCATACCACACTATGGGAGGCCGTGCAGGAAAGCACCAGGGTCAGGGCACAGGGGAAATGGGCACGGGGCTTTACTGTGGTTTTGCAAGAAGGAATGGATGAGGCAGAGTGGACAGGCTTAGGAGTGGCTAGGTTGAATAATTTCAGCAAGCTCTAGGGCAGGCGTCCCCAAACTACGGCCCGCGGGCCGCATGCGGCCCCTGAGGCCATTTATCCGCACCCCCCCCCCCCCCCCGCCGCCGCACTTCAGGAAGGGGCACCTCTTTTATTGGTGGTCAGTGAGAGGAGCACAGTATGTGGCGGCCCTCCAATGGTCTGAGGGACAGTGAACTGGCCCCCTGTGTAAAAAGTTTGGGGATGCCTGCTCTAGGGCATAGGGGTTGTCCCTAGTTGACTGGTACCTAATCCTAGGGTGATTAGGGAAAGCGGGTAGTGGTCCTCAGTGCAATAACTCAATGGAGGAGGTTGTGGAGTGTAGGCTCTGCATTGGCTGGTATGCATATGAAAGGCTTTTTTCAAGAGAGTCCTAGGGTTAGAGTCCTAGTCCTAGAGTTAACTAGCTCCAGGAACTGGCTAGCCCTGGTAGGGCAGTCTCTCCAGGATTAGCAAGAGCCCAGATGTTAAAGCATCAATAAACAGAAAATAAAAAGAGGTGATTAATGCATACACTCTGCTTAGGGTTCGTAGACTACTGAGGCTTGTAGACACCTGGGTGGCCCAGCTCCACCGAGAGATGTGATGATGGTCACCTGTTCTGTGCATTCTCCAGCCTACTCG